TCACGGCCTCTGCGCTCCTCTGGCAGGCGTCTCCTGGTCATCCCTAAAGTCAGGACACACACTCATGGCAAGGCATCCTTCCAGTGTTATGGCCCTCGCCTCTGGAACGAGCTGCCAGAGGACCTCAGGGCCGCGGAGAACATTCATGTTTTTAAGTCCAGGCTCAAGACCCACCTATTTAAGTTAGCTTTTATCTAAATATTTACTACAGTTTTATTTCTCGTTTTACATAATCATATTTTATTGCTTGCTTTGCATATTTTATATGATTATATTTTAGCATTGTTTTCATTATTTAATATTATTATTTTACTGTCTATATGATTTTATTTATTACTTATTTTCTAACTTTTGTCCCTTATATTAGCTCTTTTATTATATTTTTACTCATTTTAATTCAGTGTTTCCTCTGTAGGGGCCCTCTGCCCCGGGAGCAGTGGTCGACTGTAGCTTCCTGGGTGCTCTATAGGTAGTGTTCAAGTGGAGGTGGGGGGTCTATGCTCCCCCTCCACTGAGCGCCCTGACTTTGTGTGGAAGACCTGATGCTACCGGGGCAGACGGCTCCTCTGATGGCGTTTCCTTGCCTTACCATACTTGGCTCATCTGGACTCAGCCAAATATAATTTTTACCTGTGTGTGTGTGTGTGTGTATGTGCGTGTGCGTGCGTGCGTGCGTGTGCTTGCATATGTCTGTTAATGTTTTTAACCTGTTATCAAAATGACCCCTAAATCTGGGGTCATTTTGTAAAGCTCTTTGAGTAGCGCTTTGTTTGAAAAGCACTTTATAAATAAATCTGATTGATTGATTGATTGAAAATATCACCAAAAATCTTAGAAATTATTATTTTTTTATTTTTTTAAAGCAGAATGAGTTTTTTGTTGAATGCTCCGTGTGTCGCCATCAGGTGAGTCAGCAGACTGAGGAAGCTGTAAGTCTGGCCCCATCATCCATCTGTGTGTGTGTGGGGGGGGGGGGGGGGGGACTTTTAAATAAAGCCACATGTCTTCAGGCTGGAGGTCGACCAGTCAGAGTCCAAAGGCTGGATCTGAGCACCGGGGAGGCGGATTGTTTTCAACATGGAATGGAAAAATGCCAACATGGAGTGTGGAGTAAGACGTTTACAGCTGAAAACACGAAACCCAACTCTGCTGCTACTAAACCCATTTTATAGGAGCCAGACCCTGAAACCATTTTTTTAGGCTTCCTGAGCTGCTTTTGGATTTATGATGGTTGCTGGTGTAGAAATGGTTCCTGAGACTTGTTTCAAAATGTCACAGCAATAAAAAATACCATTTTTGAGCTCAATCAGAAGAAATGTGGAGGACATTTAGATTAGGTTTTACTTTGTTTAGCGTTTATTCATCAGTGTTGACCTCCTGATAACAGAAGTATCCCAAACTTCACATTTTCATGAATTAGACCGAAAACAATTCAAGTTTACACACAAGAAATAAATCATTAAAAATTTAATTTGTGTTTCAGAGCTGTGAAACTGCATTCAGTGTTGGTATATTTTCTGATATCAATAATTGTTTGAAACTATTGTTTTCCTTTTTCTCTTTATAGTTTATTATTCTGCTTCCATACGTTTTTTTGGCATTTAACTACTTCCACAAGTCTTCAACTATTTACACAATTTTCAAGTTTCAACAAACTCACAACACTTTCAGCTATTACTGATTAAAAAACCTTTTTGATACCTATTACAGTTTTTCTAAAATCACAGGTAGAAGTTGAGGTACGGCTTGAGATTTTCAGAAAAATAAAAATAAAAATTAGAATGGGGAAACATAGGAGCAGTGACCCTCCCTTGCGCCATTTCTGGTATTGTCCTGAGAAAACCGTAAGTCCGATTGAAATGAGACGCAGGCTGGCTTACAGCTAGCGGATATACCTTCGTTTTGAGCTATAAATCACGACTGTACTCCAAACATTGTGGTCGTACGGTTCAGTTGTTTGAGAATATTTAAATTTTAAAAAATGTCTCACCACTCTAAACTGAAAATTCCGCACTCTAACTTTTGACCTTCACATTTTCTGGAAACAACTCTTTCCAACGCCCAGACCGTTTGGAGTACCGAAACAAATTATATCTCAAAAAGTAGGAAGTTTTGTCAGCTTTTCAGAAAGGTTTTCATTTTGTCCTTAAGTGCTACATTTCTTTCTCTACAAGCCTCAGAAGGAGGAGAGACCCTGATTCTGTCTCAATGAAACCCACGTTAAAGGAACAGAGATTTTCTCCTCCGATTTGCTTCAGACAGCTAAAATGTTCTCATCATAGCTTCTAGAAAATTAATGGTAGGCACTTAAAAATTGACATAGATGACCATCAAAGTCTTCTGCCGCTCACGCTTTTTGAATTTTTCTAATCAGAGCTGTACAATTCAAATGGTGACACGTTCTTTCAGAGCTGCAAGCTGAAGTCTGAGTGAGTAGACGAGAGTAACCACAAGCAGCTCGCTCGTTAACTTAATGTAAGCAATTAAGAGGCCTGTCTTTTTGTTTGCTTATCTTTCTGTGTGTGTGTTGTGTGTGTGTGTGTGTGTGTGTGTGTGTGTGTGTGTGTGTGTGTTGTTTATGTGTGCTTGCGTCTATGTGTCTCTGGGTGTGCGTGTACGTGTGTGTGCTTGTGTGTGAGTGGTTGTGTGTGTGTGTATATAGGTGTGTGTGTGTGTTTAAGTAAGCTTGTCCTCTCTCTCTCTCTCTCTCTCTCTCTCTCTCTCTCTCTCTCTCTCTCTCTGTCTCTCTCTGCAGCTTTTCCCATTAATTTCATTACAGCTTCAGGACTCCACTATTAAAGAAAAAGGCCAGAAAACAGTGTTACTCTCTGATTGGCTGAGAGTGTTCAACCATCTTCTGCCCAAACAGGACTGAGCACCCACACATATGATACATCAAATTGACCAGCTTGGCCTCCAGAATCTTGTATTAACTTTTAAATGCATTATCAGTTACCATGGCAACAGGTGTAGCGACAACTTTTTGTAAACTTTTAGAAACAACTGTATAAACATACTTTAAAATACAAACATTATTTAAATTGTAAAAAGGTCATGTGACATTGGACATCACCATATTGAGGCAGATTTCTGTCATCTGTTACCATGGCAACACAGGTGCATAAGGATTACCCCAAACAAGTCTCATCGAAATTAATGTAAAAAGCCTAATACTGAGCCTACTGCTGTTTCTGATCTTTCTGACTGCTCTGTACGTAAAACTAGAAACGTAACTTACATTTTTTTCACCGTCAGAAGGCGGGAAACCGCCCAACCCCATCCCAGCTCTCTGATTGGCTGAGAGAGTTCAATCATCTTCTGACTAAATGGAAGTACACACCCACACAAATGATACATCAAATTGATCGTTTTGGTCTAATGAATCCATCCATTCATCCATCCATTCATCCATCCAATAAACCATCTAACATCCATCCATCATTTTATCCATCCAACCATTCATCCATCCATCCATTACACAATCTGAACATATGTTAATCTAATTAGTTTCAGATTTCAGCAAATGTTTCTAAAATTCACAGTTCAGCTAATTGTGAAAATGTTACTAATAAACTATTCTTACTCAAATGCCAGGTGTGTAAACATTTCAACTGTCTAGTTTTTAAACAACGTTGCAAGATTTCAGTTATTTGTTTGCTGTTTAGCATTTTTTCGCCATTCTTCACCTACAATATGAGCTTTATTACACTTTTTGGTGATTTTTGCTTCTAAATCGTTAAATACATTCAGCTAATTTTGACAGTTTAGCTTAGTTTCAGCTTCACTTCAGCTATTCAGCAGCTTCAGCAATCAGTTTCTGAATTCAGCATATGCTGCTCATTTCACAGTTCAGCTAAATATAAAAATTAAACTGTTAAACTAGTCCTACTCACGTATAAAGTGTTTAGTGTTGCAGCAAAACTGAAGAAGCCTCTGACTGAAGACATTCTTCCGTTGTCGGACAGTCTTGTGAAGAGATGTGTCCATAATTTTCTTGGTTCTCTGGAGAATCCTTCTTTGCATTATCTCCTCCAGTGGTTCCACAGTCGTCCCCTGAACAGAACCAGCCTTTTTTATTAGGCTGTTGAGCCTTTTCAGGTCCCTGCTTCTGATGCTACTACCCCATCAGACGATGGCTGAAGAGATTACACTCTCAACAACAGACTTGTAGAAGATCTGCAGCATCTTGCTACAGACATTGAAGGACCTAAGCGTCCTCAAGAAGTGCAGTCTGCTGTGTCCCTTCTTGTAAACGGTGTTGCTGTTCTTTCTCCAGTCCAGTCTGTTGTCCAGGTGAACTCCAAGGTATTTGTATTCCTCAACCACCTCCACTTCTTCTCCCATGATGGAAACAGTGTTTGACTCCACCCTGCTTCTTCTGAAGTCTAAAATCATCTCCTTTGTTTTGTTCACATTCAAGGTCAGATGATTGTTTCCACACCATGCCACAAAGTTTGGCTGAACTTTCAGTTTTATATCTAGTTTGAGCAATAATTTCGACCCAATCCATAAATATTATTCATGTCATTTTTCTAGATTTTGTTGCAGGAAAATTGCCTAGATAGATTTGTGAACCCTATATTAAATTGGTATCTTTAAAAAAATAAAAGAAAATCCCAGCCAACACATAGGTGGGCCCCATATAGAATATATACGGGCAAGCTGTATGGGTCCCAACGGGGTTTGTCCGTGGTTTCCAAAGTGGCCCCATGGGCCCCTACATGGGTTTTCAGTGGGTTTGACTCAAGCACAGGCCCATTAAAATCTGTTGGCAAACCTCTGTGGGGCCACCATGGAAACCACAGACAAACCCTTTTAGGACCCACACGGCATGCCCATATTTATTCCATATGGGGCCCACCTAAGTATGCTGGCTGGGATGCTACAGTTTCAATCTTTGCATATTATGCAACAGAAAACATTGTGGACTTATAAGTTTGAACTTGTTAAAATAATATAAAAAAAAAACATTGAAACCAATGAAAAGATGGACAGAACTGTTCGATTTGGCTAATTTATTATACAGATTAAATATATTTTTTTTACAACTAGCCATCTAGTTTGAAAACAGGTAGAAAAGAAATGCTCGGTTTAATAATTCTATGCAAAGACAAACCTGTGGAAAATCTCACTGCAGGTCAAGAACACGTTTCCTAACAAGGACGACAGCTTTTTAATGACACCAACAGCAACACATGAATTGTTCCTTCAGGTCTCCTTCCTGCTGCTGCTTCACGTTTTTCTGAAAAAATTAAACATGTTATAGCGAAGTTTCCTCTCCTGGAACCTTAAATCACAGAAGTGTTCGAAAGTTGGTCTAAGATGATGAGAGAAGTTGTCCTTCGACACAGATGGGAGTCTGAGATGCATTTTTATGAGTAAAAGTCCTGCGATCGACTGGAACGTTGTGTGTTTGGAGCAGAAAGCACCTTTTAGAAATGGACTAAAACTAATATTTTACACAAAGTCCTTCCAGGTCAGAAGTAGAGAAGGAGTTTGCCCTAGGGCGAGAGGCCTATGGCCGCCGGGGGGGGCTTGTGGCTGCAGCCTCGTCATTGCTGCTGTCCACCTCCTGCTCCATGGGGCTGTCCTCCTCCAGCTGCTGGCTGGTGTAGTTGGTGATCTCCAGGAAGCCGCTGGGCTCCACCACCACGTTAGACTGGCTGGAGTCCGGCAGGATGGAATACTGAGGAATCACCTGTGTGGATTGGATTACAGCTTCAGTTAAGTTGTCGTGTTTGTCTCTGTCAGCAATGTGACTGGACTCTAGGAGAAGCTAAGATGTGACACAAATCTGCACAACGGTCGTAATTTGTTCGTGATCACGTCCAAATCTCCACATAATCCGGCTAGCATCATGCAAACCAGTTCAGTGCGATTCCAACTGAAAGTTTGCAGATTTACTCACAATTTCATGTTTCAACCAGATACGGATCAACCCGGATCAGTCTACCTGAGGGCGTTTTGGAGCATTTTCAAATGATTCAGCAAGTTTCCACAAACAGATACCTGTTTTTATTCTTGCTCTTCCTGTAAAACCTGACTCATTTGCACAGTGCCATCTTAGGCAGCATTTTTCCTGCAAGGCTGTTCTGGATTACTCCTGACCGAGGACATGACAGATGCACCAACAGGTTCAGATCAGGTGATTTAAGATCTACAGGGCTTTGTAGAGAGAAACACACCTCTATGACTTCCAGATCTTCTTTGCTCCTCTGTGCTGTGAGGCCCTGAACGCAGCTGAACTGACGGGGCTTGGCATGGGAGTGGTGCACGCTGGACCCCGAGCTGCTGATGAACTGGCCCGAGTTCAACGTTCCCGACACGGCCTGGACCTCCAGGGCTTTCCCCAGTGGGCTGCAGTCGCTGGAAGAATCCACGATCATGGCCTCCGTGCTCGGATCAATCTCCGCCTCCATCATGGAGATCTTCAGGATGTCCGACACAGACGGCTTGGCGCCAGAAGCGCCTGAGCTGGACTCTGGGATCAGCTTGGCAGCTGCCTCCCCACTGCTGAAGACCGGTGATGGGTGGTGGGCACCGCCAAAGGTGATCTTAGTGATGGTGGCGCTCTGCGTGATGATAGGCTGCTACGTGGAAGACATGCAAAAGGAACAATTATGGTTCAGAAGGGAGGGAAATCCCCAACATGAGACATCTATCTGAGACGGGAATCTCAGCTGCTTTCTAGGATTGCAAGCAGGGGGGAAAAAAAGCATAAACTCACCTGGCTGGAGGTGTTTTTCTCCGTGCTGACTGGGTGGTGCGCCTGCAGGGGAGGGGGGTGGGACATGGCTGTGTGCAGAGGCCTGTGGAGGGAGGTGGGGGCATGCTGTAGCTTTGGGAGCTGTGGTGTTAGCAGGGGCTTGGTTGGTGTGCTCGAGGTCGTGACCTTTGTCGCGACCTGAGCAGGTGCTGTTGGAGCAGGTCTGTCTTTGGGGCTCTGTGTTAAGGTCTGAGGTTTGGGCGGAGTCTGATCTCGGGGTTTTGTGATTTTCGTAGTCAGAAGAGGAGTGGAGGAGGAAGATGAAGGCTGGCCAAGTTGAAGTTTGCTCTGCAGCTGTGGCGGTGGGGGCGGGGCCTGCTGGGTGGTGGCGTAGCTATGCCGACTTGACTCGGCCTCACTGGGAGGCGGCTGAGCTGCCGCAGACTGGATGGTGTGTTTGACCGTATCAGGAGCAGCTTGGTTAGAGCGGTAGAACAAACCCGTCTGAGGGTCCAACGTGTCCCCCTCTAGCTCGGCCACATCTAGCGCCGTCTCGGTTTTACCCCGACTGTCTGCTGGCTGAAACCAAACACAGATTATTAAAGGTTACAAACGTGAAACACAACTAATAATGAGCCCCTTTTCAGCCATGAATAAAGAACGATACCAAAACATCCTCCCAGAGGAACTCCTCCAACATCCAACAACCGATTAGGGAACCAAGTCTTTTCCAGTATGACAAGAGCACAGGGCCACGTAGATAAAATCAGAACTAAGTGGCTTCAGGAACAAAACATAGAAGTTTTGGGTCCAGGCCCGTGAAACTTCCCTGACCTTAACACCATTGAGGCCATAAGTCAGGATTTGGCCCAGAAGCTGGTCAACAGCACGTCAGGGTGAACTACAGAAGTCTTGAAAAAGAAGGTCCAACACTGCAAATGTTTTTACTCTGCATAAACTCAAAGTATTTATCAGTAAAAGTCGTCAAGACTCAACAAAAGCTTACATTTCCACTTCAGTAACCATGGAAACATAAAAACACTGGAGCAGCAGACATAAAAACCCAACATTTGTGACATTCCTCAAAACTTTTTGATTAATTTTCTTTTGGAAAACCTCACCAGGTGCGATGCCATGGCCGCTGGGGAGGCTGTGGCTGGTTTGGTTACCATGGCAACCTGGCTGCTGCTCTTCTCCAGAAGCTGGCTAGAGATGACCGCATCGTCTTCCTCGGAGGGCTCTCCCACTCGGCTGGTTTTACCTGCGGTGAATTCAGTCAGGCCGTCGGTTGATGAAATAAAACGCATGACGGCACTCACACATCTTAGCATCCCAGGTGCGTCACACAACACAGAACAGCCAAAACAGGAAGTGCAGGTGTGTGGCAACCCTGAGGTTTTATTCTGAAGCTTTGCTGGTTCCACTGAAAACTTTGGTGGGTAAAACATAACAGGAAGTGGGCGGAGGATATTTTTAGAAGTACCTGCTTGGACCTGTTCAGCGCCCGGCTCGGCCTCAGAGGTCGACGGCGTTGGTGAGTCGGGACTTGGCTTCTCCTGCGGGATCTGGATGGGAACGGCCATCTGACTCAGGTCGATGGTTGGCTGCTTGGGTCTGGGCTCGCCTTTCTCTTTTACTGCCGATAAAAACAAACACTTTAGCTTTCAGAAGATGGTGAATGATGAGTTTAGCTTGAAGGACTTGCTGCGATCGTGATGTGTAAGATTTCTGTTCTGATAGCGACTAACTCGGCTGTCGTGCATGAAGGAAGAGGCGTATGTGAGAGAAAAGCACTGATCATAACTCCCTTACACCCAGCAGAAGCACGACTCAGTCACACTGGACGCTGTGTTGTACCAGAAGCAGAAATTATTTACCTCCAGTGGTCGGTCACAGACCCGGCCGAGAACTAGATCTTTAAGCCTGAGGTTTTGTAGAACTGGCACAATCCTGCAAAATGACCAAACTACAGAAACTACCGGTGACTGCAACAAGAGAACTGAAAGCAGGCTTTTAGCTCAGCGCCGTAAAGGTCTCAGTAATTTCGCTAAACAACTTCAAGCAGATCCTCAGTCAACAGCTGGCAGGCAGCTGCTTTATTTTGTGGTCGGAGTTTTTTTTAGGACACCGTAAAGACAAGTGTGACACAACCATCATCCTCAGACTCATAGCCTCGAAAATCTCACAATCAAGACAAAATGGGACCCCCCCGCCCCACGAACCCCAATGTGCAGCGGGCTCCTGTAGTTTGTTTACAAAAAAACATAAAATAAAAGTGAAACTAAAATAGAAATAAACCAGCGAGAACAATAAAACTGCTGTTTTAAAAAGCAGTCAGTTTTTTTATTATAATCAAATCTGATTATTTGTTATTGATTCATGTTCACCCTACAGAAAAATCCAGTATTATTATAATATAATTAAACCGTTAATCATCCGAGCTGGTCCTTTGTTACAGATTAAGACTAATGACGATCTCTGGTTGAAATCCGGATGTGCTGCAAAACTCAAGTGTTTCAGGCAACAAGACGTTCCTTTTGGGGGTTTTTACCTCAAACATCACTGATCAGTCAGGCGTGACTGGAAGTGTATCGGCACGTGCTCTGACTAACAACCTGGTTCTGCTGGTTTTTGTTCAATGAGCTTATTGTTTACTGGTGCCAGTGGTTTCTTGGTTGGATATTTGGCTTTAAATGAAGTTTAAAATTCAAAGTGAAGGAACAAATGTGTAATGGGACAAACCGTGTCTCACCTGATGTCTGCTGCAGCTCCACCAATGCTTTGATGGTGGAAGTAGCTGATTGGGCTTCCCCAGCTGTAACCTCCTGGTATATAATGGCAGTGCTGGACTCCACGGCTACTTCCTGTTCTGTCCAGTCCTGCTCTCTGGAAGACACCACGTGGACTACCGGCTCTGAGGAGGGACCAGAAAGAAACCGGGACTATTAAAAACAGACAAGAGTTTAACGAAAGATCATCCAGCAAGTAAACAAAGTAACTGTTCAGGTAAACTTTAACTTAACTTTTAAAATTAAATTAATCCCAGGATTAGTAGCTTTTGTTGCTGCACGGCTTTAGAGATAATAAATGACTACTAGGCACACTAACACGCTACTACTGGCCAACCCCTTCTACGTCACAGGGAAAAATGGCTCCCATGGCCTCGGCCATCTTTACATGTGACCACACAAGGCTGTTGATTTAGTGTCCAGGATAGAACAGAGCTCGTCTCGGCTAAGAGAAGCTAACGGTTAGCATTAGCGACTCCACAACATGGTGGAAGACGCTTGTGTTATTTGTGGAAATAAAACATCAACGTTGCAAAGCGGCCGAAGGAGAGATATTTGCACATCACTCCAACTTCTGGTGATTTCTGCACCCCCTCTCCAGTTAGCTTCTACCCTCTGAAACAGGAGCACCAGAGCATTTTTCCACAAGACAACTCACAAGGCACTCATTTGTACTTGAGACCACAGCAGGTTTATGGGCTGAACAAGTGAGTGAGAGCTTCAACTTCAGTCCTTTTAACAAATTCTGAGCCTGAAAGTTCAACCCTAACCCAAACCCTACAATAAACCAGAGGCTAAAGGCAGGTTTTATACCGAAGATCAGGTAAAAGTCACAAAACTCTGCAGGATCCGATTCAGGCCGTTTCCTGCAGCCATTTAAGTTTCACACCACGTCCAGACCTTTCACTGGAAACATCTGCTGACACTTTTAATGAATCCCAGCCATCAAAGCTGAACTTCAACCACTTTTATCATAGCTATAAATATTAATGTTATTCAGGAATGTAGAAAGGTCGGGAGAGAAGGGACAAAAAGCTTCAACAACATCAGGCTTTTTCTCTAGGATTTTGTTCAAAATGTGAAGCATCATCTCTAGAGATGTTATTAGGTCTGGTGTAAAAACCTATTAGATTAGGGCTGCACGATACCAGGAAAACCTGCAATATCCCATAACAGTGATTAATAATGCAATGACGATATTACTTGCAATAAATAAAAACTTAACTCAGGAACTAAAATAATCAAAAAAATAAATAAAAAAGACATTTAAAAAATGAGAAAAAAATATCTTAAAAACGAGAAAAGCTAAAGATGTGAGGAAAGGGAAAAAGACAATGAACAAGAAAAGACAATCAGTGGATCCCAGGGAAAGTCGAATCAGCAGGAAGAGCAGAACAAAGCTAACTCAGGTGTTTGCTAACCATCTAAATTACGTGCCATCCGCCTCGGGGGCGGGCATCTGACCTATGAGAACCCACCCAACTGGCCAAATGGGTGAAGAGCTTTATTTGATTTGTTAAAAAAACCCATCATGCTTCCGTTTGATTGACAGAATGCATTATGTGTAGCAAACATCTGAGCTGATCATTCATTGCAATATTTATCTGTTCTTTGTGATATGCATATTGCACACGCTGATATTGCGATAACGATATATTTGCGATATATTGTGCCGCCCTATATTAGATGTTGGCTTTAGGGATGTCCCGATACGACTTTTTCACTTCTGATATGATACCGATATGGCAGCCTTCAGTATTGACTGATACCGATATCAATCTGATATGATATCAGCACAAATCATACATACTTAAACCTTTTTGTAGCGTGGAATGCATGAAAGGCTTGATCAGGTGATATTACTCAGTCGGAGAACAAAAGCCAATAACAGTAAGTATGACAAAAATGACAATTTTTTTCTTCACCATTGGTTGCAAAAATGTGAACCTTAACTGACTGCTTATATCGGAGACTTTTGATGCCGTCCGATATAATCCGACACACTGTTTTTGGTCCGAAATCGAATTACTTCTGATATCAATATCAGAATGGGACATCCCTATTGGTTTTGGCTCAAAGAACCGACAGATTTGTGACATCATCTGTAGACCGAGGGGTCGATGAGTGACGCGTACCTTGAGATGTGCTCTGAGTGGCCTCGCCCGTTAAGCTGCTGATCTCCGTGACAACGCCGGCGTCCTCCTTCACAGACCCGTCTAGCCCCGTGGCGTGACCTTGACCGACCTCGGCGGAGCGGCTCACCTGCTGCAGTGTCTCCGTGACCAGCTGCCGGGTCTGCTCGCTCACCACCGCCGTCTGGAAAACCGGTTTAGGCTTGATGAGAACCTGGAATGAAATTAAGAAACTTTTTTTTTTCAATTTTAGTATTTCATTTTTCTTGTTTGTAGTTGAGTTTGGAGCCCAAAAAATGCAAATTTTGAGTTTGAATCGTTCTAAATTACATCTTTTAGATTATTTTCTGGACAGCAAATGTAAAAATGAATGCTTCACCGACATCATTGTTCATACACATCAAATACGATAACACCAGCCTTGCATCACAAGGTTCATTTATGAGCTTAACTGTAAGTTTGTGACCGTTTTAAAGCTGATTTGATGATCTGGTTCCTAACAGGAACTCCAGCTACAAAATAAAGCCTTAATTTGCAGAAAGGAGTTTGAATGATGACGATTATAAAGACTGAAGTCTAGTCATTCCCCAAAAGTCACCAGTCATAAGTCTGTCTGCTGCTAAATGTCACGTCACGGATCTTAATCAGCCAAAACAATCGACGTGAGAAACGCTTTAATATCACAGAAACTCAACTCTGTGCCGCTTTCGTCACTGGAAAGTGGGTTTTTGGTGCAGACAGTGACAAAATAACTCAAAAGAAAAAAGGATGTTTATCAGAGTTTATGCAGAACAGCTTTAAGGTTACAGCGCCACCGAGGAGAGGATGGTTGCTGTGGGCGGATATGAACCGTATCAGAGAGTTAGTAAGATGAGTCACTCAGCCTGTTGTGAGTTCTTGTTAATGAGTCTGATTCTGCAGTGATGACAGAGACAAAGGTTTGTGAGGAAGCAGAATTTGTTTTCATGACATTTAGTTATCATCCCTTACAGCTTTTAGCAAAAAGGGAAGCAAAAAACAAAGAAGTCCATGAGATTGAAGCTGTCTGGGTACAGCTGTGACTTTCACTTAAATTCCCCTAAAAATATAAGAAAACTGGTAGTGGGGAAATTTGGGAGGCTTAAGTCTAACCACCTCGCATTTAGTTGCCGTTTCTTTGTCAAACTTTCAAATCCCACGGCAGTCCGTTTTAACATTTTAGAAAATGACAAGAATTTGTGCAGAATTGGTTTCTGCTGTTAGATCGACTAATTAGCTGCTTCAGAAGCGGAATAATGGATGATTTAAAAAGATCTGAAAAGAACAAGCACAGGCGAGAGCTCGGATATAAAACCGTCGACAAAAGCACCTGATGCGGCGGCTCTATTCAGATCTTTATCTCTCTCTCATTGTTGGACCGTCGAGCTGAAACTCGACCTCTAAAAGAGCTGCTTTCAAAAAGAAAAAGGATCAGATTCAGTCCTGAGATCGTGGCTGAGGGACAGCGGAGTTGTGAGAAAAGTGTGTGTGTGTCTGTGTGTGTGTGCGTGCGCGCATAATGAAGCTACTAGCCCGAACCGGATACATGGGCTCATCCAACTGTGGACCCACCACCCGCAGGAGGAACATGAAGGGTCCGGTGCAGTGTGGATCGGGTGGCAGACCGAGGTGGGAGCCTTGGCGGTCTGATCCCCAGACAAGGAAATGGTTTTTGGGACATGGAACGTCACCTCGCTGGCGGGGAAGGAGCAGGAGCTTGTGGCAGAGGTTGAGCGGTACCGGCTGGTATAGTCGGACTCACCTCGACACAGAGCATTGACTCTGGAACCCAAGTCCTTTGCTGGAGTTGCTCCGGGTGAGAGGTGGAGGGCTGGGGTTGGCTTTTTGTTAGCCCCAAGACTCTCTGCCTGTGTGTTGGGGTTTACCCCGGGGGACGAGAGGGTAGCTTCCCTGCGCCTTCAGGTCGGGGAACGGGTCCTGACTGTTGTTTGTGCTTATGGGCCAAATATCAGTTCAGAGTACCCACCCTATTTGGAGTCCCTGGGATGAGTGCTAGATAGTGCTCCATCAGGGGACTCCATTGTCCTGCTGGGGGACTTCAATGCTCACGTGGGCAATGACAGCATGACCTGGAAGGGTGTGACTGGGAGGAATGGCCCGCCTGATCTGAACTCGAGTGGTGTTTCCTTATTGGACTTCTGTGCAAGCCGCAGTTTGGCCATAACGAACACCATGTTCGAACATAAGGATGCCCATCGGTACACTTGGTACCAGGGCAGCCTAGGTCGCAGGTTGATGATAGACTTTGTAGTCGTATCATCTGACCTGCGGCCGTATGTTTTGGACACCCGAGTGAAGAGAGGAGTGGAGCTGTCAACTGATCACCACCTGGTGGTGAGTTGGATCAGATGGCAAGGGAAGATGCCACGTAGACCTGGCAGACCCAAACGCATAGTGAGGGTCTGCTGGGAACGCCTGGCAGAAGAACCTGTCAAGACGGTCTTCAACTCCCACCTCCGGCAGAGCTTTGACCGCGTCCCGAGAGCAGTGGGGGACATTGACTCCGAGCGGGCCTTGTTCCACTCTGCGATTGTTGAGGTGGCTGTTGCTAGCTGTGGTCGCAAGGTGGCCGGTGCCAGTCGTGGTGGCAACCCCCGTACCCGCTGGTGGACACCAGAGGTTCGGGGAGCCGTCAGGCTGAAGAAGGAGGCCTACAGGGCGTGGCTGGTCTGTGGGTCTCTGGAGGCAGCAGACAGGTACCGGATAGCCAAGCGGGGTGCAGCAGTGGCAGTTGCCGAGGAGGAGTTTGTTGAGGCCATGGAGAAAGACTATCGATCGGCTCCAAAGAGGTTCTGGCAAACTGTTCGGCGCCTCAGGAGAGGGAGGCAGCAACTCGCTCACACTGTTTACAGTGGGAATGGGGAGCTGCTGACGTCAACTGGGGCTATAGTCGGACGGTGGAAGGAATACTTTGAGGAGCTCCTCAATCCCACCTACGCGCATTCCGAGGAGGAACCAGAGCCGGGAGACCTGGGGATGGACTGTCCAATCTCGGGGGCAGAAGTTGCTGAGGTAGTCAAACTACACAGTGGCAGAGCACCGGGGGCGGATGAGATTCGTCCTGGGTATCTCAAGGCTATGGATGTTGTAGGGCTGTCGTGGTTGACACGTCTCTGCAACATTGCGTGGTTATCAGGGGCAGTGCCTGTAGAGTGGCAGACCGGGATGGTGGTCCCCATCTTTAAGAAGGGTGACCTGAGGGTGTGTTCCAACTATAGGGGGATCACACTCCTCAGCCTCCCTGGAAAGGTCTACTCCAAGGTACTGGAGAGGAGGGTCCGATCAATAGTTGAATCTCAGATTGAGGAGGAGCAATGTGGTTTTCGTCCTGGCCGTGGAGCTGTGGATCAGCTCTATACCCTTGCAAGGGTGATGGGAGGGGGCATGGGAGTTTGCCCAACCAATCCACATGTGTTCTGTGGATTTGGAGAAGGCTTATGACCGTGTCCCCAGGGGCACCCTGTGGGGGATGCTCCAGGAGTATGGGGTGGGTGGCTTTCTGTTAAGGGCCATTCAGTCCCTTTACCAGAGCAGCGTGAGTTTGGTCCGCATAGCCGGTAGTAAGTCGGACCTGTTCCCGGTGAGGGTTGGACTCCGCCAGGGCTACCCCTTGGTCACCGGTTCTGTTCATTACCTTTATGGACAGAATTTCTAGGCGCAGCCGTGGTGTGGAGTGTGTCGAGTTTGGTGGCAGGAGAATCTCGTCTCTGCTTTTTGCGGATGATGTGGTCCTCCTAGCTTCATCCAGCTCTGACCTTCAGCTCTTGCTGGGTAGGTTAGCGGCCGAGTGTGAAGCGGCTGGGATGAGGATCAGCACCTCCAAGTCTGATACCATGGTTCTCGACCGGAAAAGGGTGGCTTGCCAACTCCGGGTCGGGAGAGAGGTCCTACCTCAAGTGGAGGAGTTTAAGTATCTTGGGGTCTTGTTCACGAGTGAGGGTAGGAGGGATCGGGAGATCGACAGGCGGATTGGTTCGGCGTCTGTAGTGATGCGGACGCTGAGCTAATCTGTCGTGGTGAAGAGGGAGCTGAGCCAGAAAGCCAGGCTCTTGATTTACTGGTCGATCTACGTCCCAATCCTCACCTATGGTCATGAGCTTTGGGTAATGACCGAAAGAACGAGATTGCGGATACAAGCGGCCGAAATGAGTTTCCTCTGTAGGGAGGCCGGGCTCAGCCTTAGAGATAGGGTGAGGAGCTCGGACATTCGGGATGGACTCGGAGTAGCACCGCTGCTCCTCCAGATTGAAAGGAGTCAGTTGAGGTGGTTTGGGCATCTGGTTGGGGTGCCTCCTGGACGCCTCCCTGGAGAGGTGTCTCGGGCATGTCCTGCCGGCAGGAGGCCCCCAGGTCGACCCAGGACACGTTGGAGAGGTTACATCTCCAATCTGGTCCAGGAACGTCTTGGGGTCCTGCTGGAGGAGCTGGTGGAGGTGGCCAGGGAGAGGTCGGTCTGGAGCTCCCTAGTTGGGATGCTGCCCCCGCGACCCGGATAAGCGGAGGAAGACAATGACAATGACAAGGTATTTAACAGGTATGGCTATTTAATATATGTGGGTATTTACCTGATGTGGTTATTTATCAGGTGTGGGTATTGCAGAGAAGAGAGAAAACAGCAGCAAAACTCATATTTTCAGGCTTCTGAGGGAACTCCTGTGGCTCCATTGTTGCTCATTACCTCCTTCTCCTGTGATGTTTGTTTCTCCCCTTTTTTGATCTTCATTTTTATTCTGCTTGTGAAGTGTCTGTGGAATTTTATCTTGAAAGGTGCTTTAAAAGTAAACTCTCCATCTACCACATCTCCCCCAAGTGGCAGAAAGGAGCAGCAGCAAATCTTTCACAACAGACAACAACACATGACTGCAACATCTGCGAGTTGCAAAATCCACATGTAAACGCCGCAGAAATACATGCTTATTAAGTAACTCAGATAAAACAAAACAAAGCAGGAATGACCTTGTTTGGGTCATAAACAAACCAAAAGTGTTGCTTTTACAACATTTTAGGATCAATATTTAAGTCTAAAATAGAAATAAAACAAGTTAGGAGGCTTTTTGTCCTCTAGACTCAAAAGAACGATCATCCACAGGTGGTAAAGGTGACAGGAACACGCCCCCTCCCCACTCAATTAGGAAGTAATGAAAGAGGAAAAGTAAATGTTTAAGCATACGTTTTGCTTCTTTCTGTTCCTTTTTCATTTTTTGTTGTCGTAAACCTGTTTTGTGTTTTGTTTTTAACTGTGAATAAATGAAAATAAACTTAAAAAAATGCTCTGCAGCTATACTTTTATTTATAGAACAGGGGATTTTTCTCTTATTAACGTTGCCATCGGCTCTCACATCCCTGGAAAATGTCAGATGCAGACATGATGATGAAATAAGTGAGTGTCCTCCACAGAAAAGCAGGTCATAATGGAACAGATCACATTTAGAGCAGCTGTGTGATCGTCATTCATATGATCACATGAATCCACTTGTGTAAATGGTCACATGAGGGGATTATTATTATGATTACCTGGGTCTTGCCCTGCTGACCGTAGACGATCTTGGTCGGGATGATCTTGGTGGTGGTGGTGGACGGAGAGCCGCAGCTCAGGCCTTTGGGTTGCGTTACGATCATCTTGGTGATGGGTCTGGAGGTGGTGATGATGGCGGGTTTGGCTCCCTGCACCGCCTGCAGGCTCTTCTCGCCCTGTGAACACATGATTTATGTTCATTACAGGCAGCTGTAGGGGGGTAAAGGTGTGTGTAATTGGGAAAATAATGTTCAGACCTACAGCCGAGTCACTCTTGGAGTCGTGCCAATTTCAAGATGGCCTAAACCAACGTTTTAAAAAAATCACAAAAATAGCTTTTTAATATCATTTATCAACTTTACTTCAAATCTCTGGGGTGAAAATGAAGGGTTTGTACGTAGAGGTGGACCAAGGTGGGTTTTGCTGTCGCTGATATAGATATTTAGAGGTCCTGGTTCACTGGTTGATTTCTTTTGGGCTGATTTTCATGGCCAACACCGAGATGTCTCCTGCCTTATTTACATGCTGAAATAAAGTTGGGTTAGGTTAAAAACAGTGGATGTGCAGCACTTATGATCAATCAGTTTAATTAGAGCTCAGCGTTGAAATTAAACATTTAACCAAAGTTAATCAAACAAATTAATCAAGTATTAAAACAACGTATTCAGGCTGATGTTCCTGTTTTAAAACTGGCTACTGAAGAGGTATATCACCTGATGTGGACATTAAAAAACGGTAAATATTGGCCTGATGAATCAATCTAACCCTAAATGGCATCAAATGTCATTATTCAACAAATGTGATACACACTCCTAATATTACTATTTTCCACTCATATCAGGAAGTTTTCGAGCTGAACTGAGATCAGTGGTGTCCAACCCTGGTCCTGGGGGGCCCTTTCCATCATGTTTTAGTCATTTTACAGCTGATTTGGTAGTTGAGTCACCTCTGCAGACGCCTGTTAACCACCGACTCCGATGTCTGGGCGGTGGCCCTGGAAGACCAGGGTTGGACACCACTGAAGTGTCAGGTCCAGTCCCAATACTCGCAGTTCCACACTTGCACCCTTCAATTGCACGAGCCTGACCAGGGATGCGAGTGTGTAGGGTGTCCCTCAAGTACGAAAGTTGATCACGCCCCTTTTGCACCCTTGATCCTCACCTCACCCAAGTCCACGTCGATGCTGACTTGGGTGCAATGTGTTACCCACAATCGGTTGTTGCGAAAGAAAAGGCTCGAGTGCCTTTTCGGAAAATATGTCCTTTCTAATCATTTTAGGATGAGTAACTGATGCACTGAATGTTTTAGACAAAACAGCAAAGAATGTAAATTAATTTCATATAATTGTTTGAAAGTTATTAGTAAAGCTTTTTTTTAAAGTATCACAGTAACCAGCATCCCCGGCATGCGTTGAGATCGATGATGCAATGGTCCCTGTCCCGATTCAGCAATTCTTTGCACACTTGTGTCCCACGCAATCAAAGCTTTACTGCACACTTCCTCCAAGTGCACTTGACAGAAGTGTGAGTATTGGGATTGGGCCTCAGTGTCCAGAATTCTTCAGCCGCATTTTGTAAATCTAAAGCGAGACTCTCAGCTACAAATGAGTAATAGAAGCTAAGATTGTGTTTCTTTAGTAATAATAAACATCAATAAATCACTCAGAGCTCCAAGCTGCAGGGATATTTACTTCCTGAGGGAATAAATTCTGCTTTTGTAGAAATGTCCACAAACATTCAGTTCAGCAAATATTTACTTTTCCTAAACTCCTCAAGGCATTTAGTCAAATAACCCAACAAACTCAGCTGGAGATTGTGTTTCGGCTGCAGCCTGATGCGGAGAGCGGGTGTTTCCATGGGTAGTGGGTTAAATCCGGTTGAGTGAAGTGAAAGAAAAACGTCAGGTTGAGTTGTTATTTACATATCACGGTCCAGAGAGATTAAGGCGGTCTCATCAGAGGTTTAAGGGTGAAATGCTAGGGGGTTTCTGAACAGTGGTGCTAAATTCCCCTGAGAAGCTAAATTAGAGACTGAATATATAGACAGGCGTGTTTACACACACACACACACACACACAGAATGACTTTACAACATGCAAACACTTCTGGCCCAGTTTCACTTGTAGTTTCAGCAGCACCATATTTCTGGTTGTGATAATGATAAAGTTTAACTTCATATTTGAAAACTTCCAAATGCTTTAGATCAGTGGTCCGCAAATGGCGGCCCGTGGGCCATGTCCGGCCCGCGAGCCCTCTCTTTGTGGCCCCCAAACCCCGCGCGCCCCCCACATGAGGGTTACATGGTGAGGGTCACACAGGACAGGTTAGTGCAGTCACACAGCCGAGCTGGAGGGGGAGGGGACAGGTGTTGCCCTGCTTTATATTGCAAGCTTGTGTGTTTTGTGCATTACAGCCAGCAATCCAACCCGCCCACCCACCCACACACACACACACACACACACACATTGGCCCTCTTGCTTCTGGGTCTTTTTTGTGTGTGGCCCTCGGGCCGTTATAATTGAGGACCCCTGCTTTAGATGAAGTTTTATCCTGTTTTGTTCGGTTTCAGTTAAATATGGAGGGTTACATTTTCTCTTTTACAGACTTCTTTCTTCTCTAATGGTAATCCGACTCACTCCAGCGTTTAAAAGCGTCGTAACCACGTTTTTGCCCGGCAGTCCCTGGATGGTCGCTCCTTTGCCCGTCGTTTTCTGCACCACGATGACGTTCGGCTTGGACGTCATGGGGATGGTGGTGATCTTAGTTGTTGTACCTGTAGAAAAAAAAGTTCTCATGTCAGTTGGAGACACCAGAGGTGTCGCTGCAGTCTGGGGGAGGCCCTCTGACTCACCAGAGCTGAGGTTGCTGCTGATGATCTTCCCGCCCAGAGAGGCCAGAGATTTGGGAACCACCGTGATGATGCTGCCACTGGTGGTTTTCACGTAGGTGGTGCCGCCACTGGAGGCTGAGATTCTGGTGCCGATGTTGGGGCCGACTGTGGGTCTCGTGTATGTGGTCTGGGTGGCTGAACGCACAAATAAACAGTTCATATATCCTAATTCTTTGCTTGAAGGTGCACGAAGTAAGAATGACACCCTGTGGTCAAAGTTGGGTACTGCAGTCCATGAATCAAAACAAAGAAGTTCGCTCAGAGCAACTGTTGGCGGCTACGGATCAGCGCCAGAAGATTCTAGATGACGAGCAAAGGCAAGTCGTACACAGTGAATTGATAAGTAGATATACACATTTCACTATAATATCAAGTTGCTGGTAATTGAAAAAGTAGCCGTAGATATTTTTAGACAACTATGTTCCTAATTCACTGTTAGCATTGTTAGTTAACCCTGCTTCACCCGATATTAGTGTAAAACAAAAAGATGCCGTGGCTTCTTAGCGGTACCAGATATAACTTCTGGGTCGTTCCTTTTACTGGCTAACATTCTGTCTACAACTCTGGAGCTTTCTGTTGGCAGATGTGTCGAATTACAAATGCCGGCGCAGACTTGGCCACTCCGCAGGCTCACAGATTGTAAACAAAGACTATGTCCCTCTTTGTCCTTTTTGAAAGAAGAAAAACTGACTACCCCCTAGCCAGCTGAAAATGAAATCTGTTTCAGGATGACCTTCCTTCTAACATTATATAGACATTTCATCGTACAGTTCTCACTTATTGCACCTTTGCCCCCCCCCCCCCCCCCCCCCCCCCCACCTGTTGGCTGGGTGACCAGCTTGGTGGTCATGATGGTGCCGTTGCTACTGACGACCATGATGGGTGAAGAGCTGCTGCTGGACAGCGCTACAGATGAAGGTTTGGGCAGGATTTTACTGGGCTGCACCTGCTGAGTGATTATCTTCACCCCTGAAAACACAAACACCTTCAGCCATCACAAGGAAAACACATCGTCTCAAAGTCAAAACAGAGAGGAGAAGCAGAAACGAAAGTGAAACCGGTGATGCTTACCGGACTCCTGTTTGATCTGAATGGTGGGCTTGGCTCCTGGTGGGGTGGGGGCTGTCTGGTTCTGAGGCAAACCAGAGCCGCCTAAAGGCGAACTCTGCTGCAGCTGTTTGGGTGACTGCTGTTTGGAGAACTGAGCCAGGATCTGCGTGGGCGAGCCCATCAGGGTCTTCGGTGAGGGAAGTCTGGCTGAAGCCACCTTCACTCCCACTGACGCTGCACCAGAGCAGAGATAAGTCAGGGTGAAGCCTTTCAGGACTCGTTCTGACTCATAAATCAAGTTTTATGTTTTCTTCTCAGCTTTAACGCTCGACTCTTTTACCTGCTTTCTTTGTTTTAAAAGCTCTCAGCAACAAACTGAACGTCAGAAGTCAGAAGCACGAGTAAAAAAAAAACATCTGGAGACATTTTAACTCGTCTAAATTCAGATTTTACTTTTGGTTTTCAGCTCATTTTGTGATTTTTGTTTCTGTGATGAGTCGATAGATTAAAAACCCACATGGTGCCGAGGTTGACATGACCACCGACGGAGTGGAGGAGACCACCGTTGTCACGGCGACGGTGTTTGAAGAGGAGCCGGCAGGGAAAACCACTTTCTGGGTGGGCGTGGTCAGAATGGTGGAGGTGGCGCCCAGCTTGGCGGCGGCGTTGTTGTGTGTGTGAGACTTTGACAGGATGTTGGGCACGAAGCCAGAGCTCGGGGAAGTGGTGACGATGATCACCTGATCAAACACGAGGAGGTTCCAACGTGTGAGAGGCGTGTTAAAGAGCGCGTGAAAACAAACAGCGTGAAGGAGCGCCGCTCACCTTCTGCGTGGTAGCGCTGGTCGTCTGGATGGTGGGCTTGGTGAAGGTGATCTTGACGGGGGACAGGTGAGGCGGCAGGGAGTTGGCGATGCTCTGCATGATGTTGCTCATCTTGGGGCTGCCGCTCACAGGAACCGTGATGTTCTTCGACACTGGCGGGGAAACCTTGGAAACCTCCTTCAGCATCACCGGAGTAGAGCTAGATGAGTTGGTGCGTCGTCGCTTACGTGGCTTCTCGTCGTCGTCAGAGCAACTGACACCTGCGCGCGCACGGGGGGGGGGGGGGGGGGGGGCAGACAAAATAATATTTAGAGAATGAATGAAATATTTAAATTTATTTATGACTAGGTTTTGATTTGTGCAGCCAGAGACGGTGAAATAATCTGACAATCCTTCACTAAGTGTTCAAATCTACATTATCCAGTAAATATCCATAAGACTGCATATTTACACTTTATATTTAATGTAATTTATATGCCGTTTTCCTCCATCCATTACTTCAACAGCCAACTACACTCTCCAGGCCAGCAGAAGCCTCTTACGTTTTAAATAACCGCATCAAAATCAGGGGAAAGTTTAGAGGAAATAGTGAGAATTTGTAATTTGCAGAAACAAAATGTAACGATTCCAAAGCATTTGCTGAAACCGACTGTTGTTTATATGAACCCACCTGATGATTAGATGGGTTATTAGTGCCTCCTGCTGGCAGAAAGGTGTAATCTTCTAAAATATTTCCTAAAAGCTTTCAGGTTTGCCCTAAAGACCGAGACTCAAACTAATTATTTGTTTATGATGTACACAATTCACTTTAACAGGCTTTCTGCAGCTTTAGGGACTTTTAAAGTCCACTTTCCCAGAAAGAAAAAAGGATGTGACCTCACAGACATTTCTGTCTAAAACTGGAACTGAAAAAAAAAAAAAAAACACGAACATCAATAGGCCATTAGATTCCAATTCCATTAGAGCAAGCCTCTGATTGGTGGGGTAGAATCAGCCCACATGGGATTCAAGCTTGGTTTATGCTTGACGCATTCACTTTCCGCTTGGTGATGCGGCTCGTGGATGGAACGCGCTTCACAACTCGCAGCGTTTATGGTTCATGCGGCTTGTCTCTGCGGTGAGCCAATATTCTCCCAAACTGTAGGGGGCAGCATGGAGCTCTACAGCATGCATCCAATACTACACCATAGTAGAAGTAGAAATTACTGTTGTTTACAACATGGCATTCCAGCATTTTTAACAGCGTCCTCGTCTTTTCCGACAGTGCGAGCTATTTCTCTCCAAGAATTATTAACAACATGTTGATCACGGTGGTCTCTGAGAGCTGAATCATACAAATGTCTGTATTTACCAACCTCTGCCATACTAGTTCTTGCCAGTCCGCCATGTTTTTCCGCGTCCGACCATCAGCATGGTTAGAAAATTTCCTAGGTGCGCGGTGCGGAAAGTTTGGGCTGTGCGGAGGCGCGGTGGAGGGGCGTGGTTGTTAAAATGACGCAATTTTGCCGTGCGGAGCCGTGCGAACCTCGCAGACGCGTCAAGCATAAACCGGCATGCTCAATTCATTATCATTCATTATCATGCTGATTAACTAGAAGCTGAAAATCTCTCTGACTGCATTCCTTGCACACATAAGCAAGGATGTGTGGAATCAACCGGGCCAGGCTGGGGCCGACTGGAGCTATCCGGGCAGGGCCGACCAGGTACAGGTGGGAACGGCCCACAAGATAAAATACTCTGTAGAGGCTGAAAGTTTATGAATTTGTCTAAACTAAAAACAAAACAAGACACAAAATCTGCACTTCCCTACGGCTCATGCGCCCACACGCTAAAGTGAAAATAGCCCCCTCACACACACACGCACACACACGCAAGCACACACACACACACAATGACTTTACGACACGCAAACACTTCTCCAATTATAAATCAGCAAAATCTATTATAGAGGTTTGTTTGTTGTGTCTGTGGTCGACCTTTTGGACTCTGGATTTAAGGGTTGTCATTTTTAAACGATTCTTAAGGCCACAATCATGAAAAGCTCGTTTAAGGCTTTGACTTTTAGGATCTACAGATATCCTGGATAATAAGCTGATTTGTTTCCAGTAATTAGGAGTTTAACAAAACACTGATCTAAAGTGGAAACACCAGATGGAATAACTATTTATCACACGCACTTTTATTTTGACAAGTGCTCTATTTAGACGTTTTTTGCCATCTTCCACCTGTCCTACACATCGCCCAGTGTGTTAAACGAAGACGCCAGCAGCATTGTGGCGAGCAGTGAGAAACCAGTCGGTGAAGAAACCGTCCCTCCGCAGGGAAATGACTGCATTCAGTCACTTTTAATATCGTTTCCTGTTGATCTGTGGATCCTAAATTTAAATGGTACTGTGACTGAAACACCCGATATTAAAAGCCACTGTATCATGATCTAACTAGTGATTTACACCTCTAACGGTTTTTAGGGGCAAAAATGAACGTTCAAACTCACTCTTCACATAAACGGTGCTCCCGCTGGGCAGCACCACCACGTTGGATGAAGGGCTGACGGGTCGTGGAGACTTTACCGTTGCTCCTACGAGCCCGCTGGATGCTGTGGCACTGGTGGAGGTGGAGGTGGTGCTTGTGTAGGAGTAGCATACGATGACTGCAAAGAAGAAAGAAACGTTACTGTACTAAAGGCACACTATAAACAGGTTGTAATGGCGCTGGATCAGGGCTGAAACTCGCTTTACACTGAAAATGCCAGCCAGAGCGTCGCTTAACGCCCTCAGAGTATGAAGGGGAGGAGTGGAAATTGCAGTTGTACTCCTGGCTTCTTTATTATTCCCAATGGGTTAGGACAAGTGAAGCAGGATAGCAGCTGATTAACATGATTGCTCATGTGTGTGGTTTTTGGTCATCCACACACACACTTGACCATGTCCTGATGCTATTCCCCAGGCAGCAACATACTGCAGAGAGGAACCCAGAACTCAAACCTAGAGCTACGTAAGCCTCGAGAGATATGAACTTAATGCCATTTCATCTCTAGCCGCACTTCCGGAGCAAACTTCCGGTTATCTTCAAAATAAAGGTAACAAACTAGGGCTGCACGATATTAGGAAAACCTGCGATATTCGATAACAGTGCTTAATATTGCGATATCGATATTACTCACGATAAATGAACAAATAGTAAAGTATGCAGTGTTGATGTCATCTGGCGTGTGACGTCTGCTCTGGGTTCAAAGCAAACAAAAACTAATGCATGAATTCCATTACAACATAACATTTTTATTGCAAAAATATGCAGCTGCACCTGCTACTGTATTAGCAGCAAAACAACAAACTGCATGCATGCAGTTTCTCAGTGACTTTAAAACATCACCTCCACCATAAAACTTTTTCTGATGCTCCAAATACAGAAAAACATCCCTTACCAGGGTTTTTAGAATAAATAAAAAAAATCTGAAAATAAGTTTAAATGTTAAATAATAGTTAACATCACTTAAATGCAACAGCAAATTCTCTCATTGCTACTGAACATTTTCTCCACTTATGTGGTTATGATATAAGGCTGTTGCTGCTATTGGGAAGTGATCTGTGCTGGGCCAAACTAGGAGAATATTAAGATTTTCTGAGGGAAAGAGAAAAACAATTGTCTACCTTTCAGAAGAGGAACTGGCAAAAAACTACATGGAAAATATGTGAAAACGTTTGTTTTTAACCCCAAATTGAACAAGTTTACCTAGATCTTATAAAGCAGCTCAGATGGTGAAACTGCAACTGATTCTGATAACAAGCTAACAAATTGAATTAGCTAGCTCCTCTTAAGATAACCGGCTAGCAGAGCTTCTGACTGACAGTTTATGTGCAGCAGCAAATCAACTATCCTGATTAACAAGGTTATAAAAGCTCATAAATGAAAAATCAATTTGATGTGTGGGGGAACTTTTCCAGGCCCTCTTTAGCAGGGTGGGACAGGGAGGAGAGTGCTGTAGCCTTTTAGCTGGAAGCTAACCGGAGCCTGGGGCTAACATCACCACCCGGTGGAACACTAGCGACATGAAGGTAGGTGGGTTGTTCACCGGCACGTGTCGGAGTCAGCCCGGTTACTATCAGCTGCTTAACGACACCGAGCGGACTCACATTCACGTTTGAAAGCAGCGCTGATTCCAGAAACCTCAGCACAAAGTGCGTTCGTTAATCTGAGCCAGCATGACGAACAAGGGAAGCGAGCGGCAGCGGAAAGCGGGGGCAGAGCGGAGATAGTAGAATTTTGGGGTAAGGATCTATGTAGGGGGCGGGCGTATTACGTGAACGGACCCATCTGATTGGCCGCATGTCAGAAGGGCTGCATTTGATTGGTCAAATAATACTTCCGCGTAAAAAACAGAGCTGGTTTACAAAAAGTTGATGTATGACACAAATGGAAATGTTTGAACCAAACAATTATCGCCGTTTTTGATGTGCTTTGCGATGGGCCTATCGTACGTCCTGTTATCGCGATGACGATAACTTTTCGATATATTGTGCAGCCCTATAACAAAGGAAAAGTTGTCCCAAAACTCAAGACTTTGAGGGCTTTCCTTCAGTTACTTGTGGTTTGGTATTAGAGCTGACCTCTGGGGGGAGGGCAGAAAAGCACCGAAAATCATCTTCTGCGCGTTTAAAAACAGTAAATGAACATCAGCGAAAACTTGACCTTACCCTCCTTATTTCCCGTTTCAGCTGGCAGGAGAAGCGAGGCGTTCTGATGGGCCGTGACGGTGGCCACAGCGTTGGCCGTGGCTGTGAAAGCCGTCTGAGGGACCAGCCTGGGCATCAAAGGAACGAGCCGCCGTCCTTCGATGGACCATTCAGACGAGCTGTTGGGACCCGACATGCTGGGAAAAACAGTGGTGCAACCCTTAATTTTCAGTTGTGCGAAGCGAACGGCACTAACACAAAGCCTTCGATGGTTTCAGACTCACTGGTATGCAATCGTGGTGAGGCGCTCATCGTTAACGGCCCGGCGGACTTCTGCACGGTGTCGCTCCGTAGAGATGCTGAAGGATGAAGGAGAAGGATGCCAGGAAATAAGAAAAAAATATCACTTCAATAAATCCTGATTGTTTTCCTCCCGCTCTACATCATGTAGGTGTCATATGAACCAGATACCCAAGGATTTTAGTGAGCCCCGCCAGCAGATCCTTCTTATCCTTCGTCAGGTCTCCTTGAGCTCGCAGAGCACTGATGACTCCAGCATAAGCCTCCAGCTCTGCAGACAGGACCATCAAACATCAGGTAGTGCTAGGACCCTGTTATCAAGCTTAACACTCACATTTATTGCATATATCTATGTGTATATTAGCATTTTCTAAACAACAACTTTCTCTGCCATCATAAATCTTACCCAGTTTACGGAGGATTCTTTTGCACTCATCCCTCCCCAGGTCGAGGATGGTGGGCCATACCACTGGCATAGTACCAGTCAGCACTGGTTTCTCCAGCTGAATCATTGGCTGAGAAGAAAATAAACATAATGTCAGCAAAATTCTCCTTTATCTTTAAGACTGATGGGATTTGAGGTCGCAGCAAAACCAGGGTTGAGTTTAGTCCCTAAAGTGAGCTCACCTCCCCTGGGAGGTATATATATATATATATATATATATATATATATATATATATATACATATACACCAGTATATATATTATATACAGTGGGGCAAAAAAGTATTTAGTCAGCCACCGATTGTGCAAGTTCTCCCACTTAAAATGATGACAGAGGTCAGTAATTTACATCATAGGTACACTTCAACTGTGAGAGACAGAATGTGAAAAAAAAATCCATGAATTCACATGGCAGGATTTTTAAAGAATTTATTTGTAAATCAGGGTGGAAAATAAGTATTTGGTCACTTCAAACAAGGAAAATCTCTGGCTCTCACAGACCTGTAACGTCTTCTTTAAGAAGCTTTTCTGTCCTCCACTCGTTACCTGTATTAATGGCACCTGTTTGAACTCATTATCTGTATAAAAGACACCTGACCACAGCCTCAAACAGTCAGACTCCAAACTCCACTATGGCCAAGACCAAAGAGCTTTCGAAGAACACCAGGAAAAGAATTGTAGACCTGCACCAGACTGGGAAGAGTGAATCTACAATAGGCAAGCAGCTTGGTGTGAAAAAATCAACTGTGGGAGCAATTATCAGAAAATGGAAGACATACAAGACCACTGATAATCTCCCTCGATCTGGGGCTCCACGCAAGATCTCATCCCGTGGGGTCAAAATGATCATGAGAATGGTGAGCGAGAATCCCAGAACCACACGGGGGACCTGGTGAATGACCTGCAGAGAGCTGGGACCACAGTAACAAAGGTCACCATCAGTAACACACTACAACGGCAGGGACTCAAATCCTGCTGTGCCAGACGTTTTCCGCTGCTGAAGCCAGTGCATGTCCAGGCCCGTCTGAAGTTTGCCAGAGAGCACATGGATGATACAGCAGAGGATTGGGAGAATGTCATGTGGTCAGATGAAACCAAAGTAGAACTTTTTGGTATAAACTCAACTTGTCGTGTTTGGAGGAAGAAGAATATTGAGTTGCATCCCAAGAACACCATACCTACTGTGAAGCATGGGGGTAGGAACATCATGCTTTGGGGCTGTTTTTCTGCTAAGGGGACAGGACGACTGATCCGTGTTAAGGAAAGAATGAATGGGGCCATGTATCGTGAGATTCTGAGCCAAAACCTCCTTCCATCAGTGAGAGCTTTGAAGATGAAACGTGGCTGGGTCTTCCAACATGACAATGATCCCAAACACACCGCCCGGGCAACAAAGGAGTGGCTCCGTAAGAAGCAATTGAAAGTCCTGGAGTGGCCTAGCCAGTCTCCAGACCTCAACCCCATAGAAAATCTGTGGAGGGAGTTGAAAGTCCGTGTTGCTCGGCAACAGCCCCAAAACATCACTGCTCTCGAGAAGATCTGCATGGAGGAATGGGCCAAAATACCAACTACTGTGTGTGCAAACCTGGTAAAGACCTATAGTAATCGTTTGACCTCTGTTATTGCCAACAAAGGTTATTGAGTTGAATTTTTGTTATTGACCAAATACTTATTTTCCACCCTGATTTACAAATAAATTCTTTAAAAATCCTGCCATGTGAATTCATGGATTTTTTTTTCACATTCTGTCTCTCACAGTTGAAGTGTACCTATGATGTAAATTACTGACCTCTGTCATCATTTTAAGTGGGAGAACTTGCACAATCGGGGGCTGCCTAAATACTTTTTTACCCCACTGTATGTATGTATGTATGTATGTATATATATATATATATATATACATATATATGTATATATATGTATATATATATATATACCGTAAATCCTCTAATACAGGCCCGGGTCTGTATTTGACTCAAGCTCATCAAGCTCCAGGCCTTTATTGGAAGGAGGACCAGAATTAGAGGCAGGCCTCAATTTCTATTTGAGCAAAATTAACTAATGGTTCGCTGGAGTTTTTGACAATTAAAATTGCGCCCACATTTTCAAAGTTAAACACATTTCTTTTAACAAAGGCAGTTTCTGCTTCTGCCCTCTCCCCCCTCCCCCTGCGCAGCGGCCGCACACTCACTGGTGCGCCTGCAGCCTCTCGGAGTTCCTGCTGCTCTAAACATTAAAATAATTATTTCATTTTCTGTTCCTCACTTCTGATTACCTTCAGTGGTGTCTGTTTGTTGCAACCACCAGGTAAAAAAACTAACTTGTTTTTATTTGACTATTTTTCTGTCCTGCCTGTTTATTATCTTCTTGCATCTCCTCTCAATCCTAAAGAAAAACTGCTACCTGGGTTCATATATATTCACCTTATGAGTTACCTTTGAACTGCAGTTCTAAAATATCTACCGACCGCAAAAACAGCGGAGTGCAAGCTGCTTGCCGGCCACATCAGTTAGGTGCGTCACCGAGGACAAAACAGGTGATGCGCCCCGATCCACAGCAGTGAAACGCATCAGGCACAAATAAAAGAATAAAAGACATAAAACATAAAAGGAAATGAGCTGACATGAACGATCGCGTGTTAAATTAGTTTTTGAGGTGACGACACCTGATTTGATAATGTTACTGTGGCCGTGCTCAGGATGCAGATGTCTGAATCGCGTCAACAATCAGAGCTGTGCATGCGCAAGCTGGTTAAGGTTAGGATGGGGGCGAGGGGAAGGTTAAATTGCAAGAGGGTAAACGTCACAATTTGGTTAAATGTCCGTTTTACGGCGGGTGTCAGTACCGACACTCTGGCACAGCGCGTTGCCTCCCGACGTGCAGGAGCTCGTCCCCTGCTGAGAGCAGGCTGCTGTCTTTTCCGAGGACTGCATCTTGCCGGTCATTATCACGTGACAGCGACTAGTCGATGACAGGCATAATAAGTCACTATAGAGCGGTGAAGTCGACTAGTTCATACAACCCCTACTACTGCTCCCCAGAGTGTTCTGCAGCATAATCAGCACGTTCTCTTTGAACTTGATATCAAATTTTCGTCTCCTCTTCATCTCCGCACGGTTAAAGTTACCCTCGCGGTCTATCACTGGCAAATCAAAAGTGAGACGGATGACACAACCGCCCCCCGTACTTGCCTGTTACCACATTCCACCCGGCCACAATAAAAAAACGGCCATTATTCAACTCCGCCGACTAAGACACCGGCCAAAATATGATACCCGCAGTTAATTAAATACAGGCTAATATTAGAGGATTTACGGTATATATATTATATATATATATATATATATATATATATATATATATATTATATAATATATATAATATATATATTATATATATAAATATATTATATATACATAATATATATTATATATATTGTAGTTTTGTCTTTTTAAACCCATTTGTGTTGTTTAGGGTTCTATTAAAGGCCTGTCATCCAGTACTGAGTGGTTCTGCTCGCTGAAAACTCGGGTTTAAAATTCATCAGGTTGTATCTGTAACAGAACTGCCAGCAAACATGTAAACAACTATAAAGTGCTTTAAATGGCTGATCTGAACACCCCATTTGGCCATTAGCAGAACAATGACCAACAATTATAGTTGGTGAATATACATACATACGCTTTCCGAATCACAACTTTATAGCCGAAACTTACACAACAAATAGTTTATGACTACTTTGTATTTGTCGATCTCCCACAGTCGGTAACTTAAACGCAAGCTAAGCCTGACTTAAATGTCTAAAGTTTTTGAGTGAGGTTCTGATAGAACAGCGAGAAATGAATCATCCAGCACTATTGGAAACGGTTCCAGGATCCACTAAAAGAAAAAAAAACGCTGAAAATGTTATTAAAAGACAATTTTGTGTAATTTATGGATCCAAAATGTTACAGAATGTTGGAAGCACGAACACAGAACAAGCTACTCAATGAAATGTCTTACCGTTTGTTAGCAGGGCATCAACTTCAGCAGGCCTTTCCACATCCGTTAGCCTAGCAAACTGAACGGATCATCAGAACAGTATTTATCTCACATCATGAGGTGATTTCCGAGTTGATGCATTAAAAAAATAAAACTAAAATCGATCCAATAATCATAAAACGCTCAAAGACGTGTCAATGTTTACGTTGACTGTTAACTTGCATCGGCTAGCTTGCGGATGCTTTCTTCTTCTGGTGAGGAGGCTTTGTTTTTGTTTGTAAGTGTCTTGCTGCCCTCTACTGGTGGACCACGGTACTGACTCCTCGGTAAAAAGAAAAGCTCTGGAAAAAATGTTTCGAGTTTATTTCACCCAACACTTCTGCCAGGAATTTGCGGTCGGGCTCACGGTTTTTATTGTCAGTTCCAAAGGCTCGCCTAAAGACGAGAGTAGATAGGGCTTTTTCTGTGGCCGGTCCTACACTTTGGAACAGCTCTTCCTCTGCAGATCAGGTCCTCACAAAATCTGGATGTCTTTAAGTCCTTGCTTAAAACTCATTTATTCAACTTGGCTTTTATGTAGGATGATTTTATTTTGTCATTGTCATTCTTTCTCATTTTTATTGATTTTATGATTGTGTGATGTAATGCTGTTTTTATCCTAACTTGCTATTTTTTATGGTTTTTAGTTATACTTTCTTGCGATTTTATCTTCTGTGTTGTGCAGCACTTTGGGTTGCAGAAGCAATAATAAGTGTGCTTTAAAAATAACTGTGACCTTGACCTATTTTTCTTAGTTTTTTCCTCAGTTGGTAATTTCAATAATACGTATGCTGAAACAAATTTCCTAAACAACGTTCATTGTGGTAAAGTCCAAAGGTATGGTAGATGCCAACAAACTGTAGTGAGTAACAGTTTCATTATCAATTTAAAGTTTTCCTCGTTTTCGGGGTTATTTTATTCAGCTCAATTCAGTATAAAAAGATGCGCAAAAAACTACAAAAACATGCAGTTATTAAAAAGTTAAGTAAAACATTTTTGACTGTTAAAAACTTTTTCGTCTTAAATTATGAAAAACAACAGTAACAGAGGAAACCAAAATCATTCGTGACCTCTGGAAAAGTCTGCCTCCTTGTGGATGATCTAAGAACTGCAGAAGGTAAGTGCCAAATGTATTGTGGCAGCAGAGCCAAGCAGCCTGTTCAGGGGGGGCCGCAAGGACTTATGGGTAATGGGCCTTAAGTGTTAGTTATAGAGTTCTTCAGTGTTATCTTATGGTTTGACGTTATATTTTTGTATTTCAATGGATACCTGTTCTTTAATTATCCTTCAAGTTCTGTTGGTGTCAATATTTAGTGGTATTTGTTCATCACCATGATGGAGAAGGGGGTGCATGAGAATGACCTGCCTGACATTAGATTGTTAATGGAAAGAACAAGTTGTTGCAGGAGTTGTTAATGAATGGCTCCTCATTGTCAATCTGTCTTTGACACTTGAGGTGTGCTATAAAGCTTCTCTCTTCAATGACTCATTTCCTGTGATGTTAGGTGTCAAAAGTGAGGTGTGGCCAATCTCAACATGGAGAGAGAGATAGAAGAACTGGAACGGATCATCCAAGAAAACTACCAACTTGTGGGGTTGAGACATAAGAGCAGGGGTGGGCAATTATTTTTTCCATGGGGCCACATGAGAAATAGAAAATATTGTGGAGGGCCGCAGGCCAAAAGGCTGAAGTCAATTATGCATAATATTAATGGTATTTCTTTATAAAAAGCAGTAAATACCATTGTTTCTTCAAGCTGGTAAGAGTAGACTATGTTATAAATGAGCAAAAAGGAAAAAGTGAGGTTGGCTTACAAAAATGTGATTTATTCAAATTTCCCAAGGCAATGGTGAACAAAGTGTGCACATTTGGTTTTTGTTAAACATTTGTGACTTATATTAGTTAACAGTTTCAGTCACATTCACTCCAAAACACATTCTGAGTTTCAAATATTGTTGGAAAGAGGTTCTTAGCATTCTACAGACACACAGTATTGTCTGTAAAATAAAATCACTGAACTGTGATCTTGAGAAAGAGGTTTAAAAAAAGTGTCCCAGTTCACTGCTAGTTGCCTACATTTGTGGTCCAAACACCTTATTTTGTGTTTTTAAGCAATTTTTTTCTTATTCAGTGAGAGAAATCTAGTCTCTGCTGGGCTTTAACGAGTGCATCAAAGTCAGGTTGAATGTCTGAGGTGGAGAAGCGAAGCACAGCTGACAAATGATCATCAGTGAGAGAGGATCTTTACCTGGATTTTGTAAACTTCATCATTGAAAATGTTTGTTCACAAATGTAGGTAGAGCTGAAGAGAACCAACATCTTCTGAGCATGTCTCTTCAGGTTTGGAAAATCCTCCTTAAGAGAAGAGTAGAAATCCAGCAGAGATCCTGAATCTCTGCTTTCGAGTCCCAAACCCTCTTCAGCACTTTCCCCAGGCTGAGCCATCTGACAGCTGTGTGGAGTCCTCCACAAGAGCCACAAACTGTCTGTGATCCATTGCCCGCGCCCTGATGAAGTTTATTATTTTAGTAACAACATCAGTAACATGGTTGATTTTTAGCACTGACTTGCACAACACATGTTGGTGTATAATTCAATGCAAAAACACCTATTTTTGATCTGCATCGATTTCTGTCACTTTATCTTGCATGCGTTTCAAAAGTCCGACATTTTTCCCTGTAAAGCCGGGCGTACACTGTGCGACTTTTTCACTCGCAGCACTCAGCTTCAGCTCAAACTGTACGACTTCCCTGCAGAGCAGATCTCACGAGTCATGTGCTCACACTGTACGACCCAGTTCTCGCATGCGACCTGACTCCTCACACTGTACGTCTGGTAGCAACACGTCGGCCCTAAAAATGTGCTAAAAATAGCAGTTTTTACTCAACACGTTAGACTTTTTTGTCTTGTTTTGCCTGTTGTCCTTCGGGAGTGCTGCAGGAGGACACACAGGGATTTATGGGGGTTGGATGAGGAAAACGAAATAAAGAAAGTAAATCTGTGTTTTGTGATCAGTTTAATTTGACATGAACACGACAAACACACTTTCTTGACAATCTTTGTGAGTAAAAAAAACGTGTAGAAACAAAAACGAACAGCGTGTGTTATTAGGGAAATAGCGAGCGACAAGCGTTGATGCAGGATTGCGCGCGCATGCGCCGTGAGTGGTTCTGATACTTTTTGGGTCGCAGCTGCTCGCAGCGCCGCTTCAACAGTGCGATACCCTCACGGGGGACGAGCGAAATATTAAACACACCAGAGTGCGACCTCACGACTGCTGATCGGCGGCTGGTCACGTGGTGTTAATCGCCTCTCGTAACCCCCTGTACACTACACGACCGCTCGGCGCAAAACTCGCCCCGATGTCGTGGCTTCTCGCACGACTGGAAAATCGGCTCAAAAAAGTGAAAAAGTCGCACAGTGTACGCCCGGCTTAAGATTTGGACAACCGTCTGTTGTGACACCTGACAGTCTCTCCCATTTCAATCCCAGAGTGTCCGTGCACGCATTTACCTCTGTAAAAAGATCACTCCCTGTCGTTGTCCCTCTCATCGACCGCATTGCTGCCCGCTCCTCTGTGAGCTTGAAGTCCGTTATCCCCCGGACAAATACGAGCAGCTGGGCTGTGTCCCGGACATCACAGCTCCCGTCTAATGAGAAAAAGTCAAAACTTGCCACTTCACGTTGCAGCTGAAGCTCCAGGTTCCCCGCAATGTCCTCGATCCTCCTGGTCACGGTTCGCTGTTTTTAGCTATTTTGTGGGATATCACAAAGCTGGTCCTGGTTGCTGCATCCCTGGATGTGTGAAGCTTAGTAAAAAAGCCTTGCTGCTTTTGCAACTTTGCTAGCAAAGCTTCGGATGTCCGTGCCCTCTCAGCATCAGACAAGTTCTTGTATTTTTCCGAGTGTTTCTTGTCGTAATGCCGACTCAAATTGTAGTCCTTAAACACGGCAATCTCCTCCCCGCAAACCAAACACACGGCTTTACCTCCGACTTCAGTAAAAAAAAATACTTAGCAGTCCAATTTTTGTTGAAAATCCTGCATTCGGCATCTTTCTTTCTTTTTTTTTTTTTTTTTTTTGCATGAGCGGACATTTCTCAGGCTACAATCACCATGTCAACCGCGGGCACTTGTTGCTATATGTATTGCGTCATTGTGCACGTAAAATACAACTTCAAAATAAAAGCAATGCAGCCTTAGCCCATGCATGAGGTAAAATGAGAAAATACATTTATTTTGTAATTTCCAATTAACCTTACGCGGGCCGGTCAAAGTCAACCAAAGGGCCGGATGTGGCCCGCGGGCCGTAAAATGCCCAGGTCTGCATAAGAGGATACATGGGAACCCCTTGAAAGATGAGAGATGCATACCAGATGGGAATAGCGCAGCCAGACCACACAGCCCCCTGGTGGATGAGGACAGTACACCTAGGCCACACTGCACCCTGGTGGTGAGGGGGGCTGAACTCAGGCAGGCAGCGCCATCATCAAACTATGAGGAAACAAATCTCCAGACATCAGAGTTGGGCGCAGACAGGTTGTGCCAGACAGATTTGATGCCGGTCCAGCGACGGTGTACAGTGGGGCCGAAGACACCCGCCAAGCTACCCAAGTACATTGGCGCGACACCCTTGTAACCTTTCCTCGCCCAGATACGGCTGGCGTCATGGCACAGTGACTGGGAGGATGATGAAACTGCTGCACATCTGGCACTGGCTCTGGAGGGAGCAGCCCTGCAAGTGCTCCTTGGCCTAGCTCCAAGAGATCAGCGGGATGTTAAATCCCTGATGATAGCGTTAGAGAGGAGGTTTGGCAAATGCCTGTGTGCAGATGAGAGCCCAGAGGAGTTGACCAGCCGCTGCCGTAAAGAGGACGAGAGTCTGGGTACTTTTGCCGCTGATGTAAGGTTCCACGCCCAACGGGGTTATCCCCAGTTCTCGACGGCGGTATGTGATGAACTGGCACTCCATGCCTTCCTCAAAGGCCTCACACCAGAACGCCTGCGACAACATGTTCGGCTGGCCAGACCCCACACTCTCATGGATGCTCTCCAAGAAGCAGAGCAAGCAGAGAGGATACTAATTCAACGGTCCAATCCTGCATGAGCTCACAGCCCACCACGGCATGCCCGCCAAGCTGATGTTGCAGAGGAAGAGGAGACAGAAGGGGTGTTTCAAGCTCAGCCCACTATGGTGAGGAGGCATTGAAGCACTCTGAGTGACCGCTGTTATCGG